ACGGGCAGCCCCAGCACCGGCTTGCCGAAGTAGATGCTCTCCATGGTGCTCAGCAGGCCGCCGTGTGTGATGAAGAGTTTCACATTGGGATGCGCCAGGATGTCCGGCTGGGGGAACCACTTGCTGATGAACACATTGTCCGGCTTGCCGGGCAGCAGATTGTCCTCGAACTTCCAGAGCACGCGCTGCTTGAGGCTGCCAAACACTTTGAGCAGGGTATCCCGAGTGGACTCGGGCAAATCTTTACTCCTCACATTCGAGCCCAACGAAAAGTATATGACGCCATGAGCGGARCTTTCGATAAACTGTTTGATGTCGTCGGGCAGCGCTTTCGGCTTGTGCGAGATGTGAAGGCCGCCCACTTCAATCATGTTGGGCAGGTACGGTCTCGGGTAGCTCACCGAGAAGTGTTGGCCGAGCAGCATTAGAGAAAAGCTGTCCAGAACCTCGGGCAGAGTTCGTGTTGCATTGGGAAAGTATTTTGAGTACTGTTTCTCCATCTTGGGATAGTGGTAGAACTCGTACACCAATTTTTCCAGCCAAATTTCCAAATTATTCTCCAGGCGCTCGACGAAGCTCATGGGATTGGACCGTGGCGAGCTGATGAGCGGATTGTAGGCCATCGGCGATATGTTACCCATGAGCTCGTCGATATTGTAATCGGTGCCATAGGTCGAGAAACCCATAAGGGTCGCATTGAAGTGCTGAGCAAAGCCGTACAGCGCTTCCGTGTGCAGCACCTCGGCAATGACCAAATCGAACGTTTCGCCGGACTTCAGCAGCTCCTGCACTGACTCGTTCTCCAATAGGCATTCGCTTATAATGCCCAGCAGCCAGCTGAAACTTTTCTGCTTTTGCAAGAACGACTCATCAGCTTGCATTACCTGCATAGCCTCTGTAAGGGAGAGAGTATTTATACATAAGTGGGCAAAGTTGGCACAATTGAATCTTGAATTCTGCTCTTACCTGCGTAATGTTTGTGTATTTTGGGAGCCGATATAAATCGCATATTCGGCACTGGCTTGTTTTCGAAGGTATTGATCACGGTGACCTCATGGCCCCGCGCTGCTAGCGCCTTCAAATACGCCTCGGCGAATATGTACTGGGAGCGGCCGGGGAATGCGAATGTGGCCAAGATCTTGGCGCCCTCGGTCCGTGGAGGACGCCCGATAAGTGTTATCAGCGCCAAGAAAAGCAGCGTTAGGCACTTCATATTGCGCTCTTAGTTACTAGTTATTAGATTTCTGACAACCGACTGAGCTTGAGCTTTCGATGGGGCTCGCTTTTAAAGCTATTTTTTGGCTCCCTCTCTCTCTCTCTTTCGAAGCAATTGTAAAGTGTGTGAGCTAATCAGCAGCAGAGAGCTTTCTCAGCTTTGCAAACAAAACACGCCTCATCAGCATGATGAGCTTTGGCACATAAAATACTTGAAGATCAGGTTTTCTGTTGTAAGCATGAAGTCAGCTGTTTTTCTAGATAGATAAGACAACTTGCTTAATTTGTTTGGTCTTTAATTACTTGATTTCATACTCGATGCGCATATTATAAATCAAACAAGTGATATGTCGGTTATATCTGCATATTAAATAGGTTTGAGGCGATTGAAGTAATGGAATGGGCTAGTGAAAAGCCAGGCAGTTGATTAGCAAGAAGACAACAATGCAGTTCGATGGATAGTGGTATCACCCAATACAATGGCCAGGTACCGACACGTAGCAATCGACAGCCGTGAATCGCAATACACATTCCGCCTTCTCTTAATGAACAATCTTTACACTGCCTCTTTCAGTAGTGTCCATACCGTTTATTTCATCGGCTGAACTTAACGGGCTCTCCTCGATCTGCAGCTCGCTTGGTACCGCCCGTCTGATAGTCGGGGTATAATGGTTTTGTCAATTGTATGTCAATTGTAACAGGCAGAAGTAGGCGTGGAAGACCCCACAAAGTATATACATATTTTGGCTCAGGGCCACGAGCTGAGTCGATTCAACGCGTCGATCTCAGAAGATTTAAAAGCTAAAGACTTGAAATTTTGTATTATATCGAATAAAAATCTTATCGAGAACTGGTTATTTTATTATAACTCCTACACCTTTCGAGCTAGAGGCTCCAAATTTTAAATTTAGACTCATATGTATCTTATAGAATGTCTATATTTTTTGTAATGCCCTCTCAAGGTCATTGCCTTCTCAAGGTCACTGCCCTCTCAAGGTCACTGCCCTCTCAAGGTAACTGCCTTCTCAAGGTCACTGCCCTCTCAAGGTCACTGCCCTCTCAAGGTCATTGACCCCTGAAGGTCATTG